TTAATATAGTTTATTAAAAACAATAATAAGAAAATTTTAATATTGTTTATTAAAAACAATAATAAGAAAATTTTAATATGGTTTTTTAAAAAAAATAATTAAAAAATGTCAATATAGTTTATTAAAAAAATAATTAAAAAATTTTAATATATTTTATTAAAAAAAATAATTAAAAAATGTTAATATAGTTTATCTAGTTTCAATAAGTAGAATTTGAATTCTAATATTCTTGAAAAGAGTATTTCAAATAAACAAACTTCATCAACACATCTCCAAACCCCAAGAAGAATTTTTATTAGATATTTAAGGATTTTCTAAATTTATTTTTAGTTAAAAGTTAAATAGAGCTACTTTTAAGGTAATATTAGCCATCATTACAGAAGAAATGAAAAAGAGTTATAACAACTTCTGATTTTAGTGAGGAAGATTATATAATTACATGCAAAAATTTCTTTGACAGATATTTTACTTTGTTAAAAACTTATCATTAATGGAAAATTATAGAAGATTAAAAAATAATAGAGAAATTGGGAGTTATGCGTGAAATTATTTCTAATCTTGAAAATAAGATAAAATCAGAAAATGGAGAATTCGAAAGATGGTAAACTGAATTCTTGATTAATTTAAATTGTCTTTAGCAAGAATCAGTAGAATTAGGGGAATTTTATATTACAGAGAAAAGTGAGCAAAATTTAATTAAAATAATTTAAGTTCTGGATAAATTCAATGATAAAGTTTTAATTTTTCATTAGACTTGGTTATAAATATATGAATTAAGAGAAAGATTATTTAGATAGAATGAATAAAAGATAGTAAATTATTCGAATTATTTAATAAACTATCTAAAAGATGTAAAGAAATTCTTATAAAAATTTGTAGGATATATCGAAATTATGTGATATAAAGAAAATAGAATAATTAGGATATAAATTAGCATAATAATTGTTACATTTTTCAGAAAAATAATTTGATTTTTTGTTCAAATCTGAATTTTTAGATATGGCATATGAATTATAAAAATATTTTACTTAGAATGATGAGAAATACATAATATAACCTATAATATAATATTTGGATGATTTTCTGATATAAGAAAAAATCTAATTATCATTTTTAACTTTATTTTTAGAGGGATTTGGATTAGTAAAAATAAAGATATTCGACTAAGAGTTTTATTGTTTTCATATTCATAAAGCAGAGTTTATTATAAACAATATGAAAGAAATGTAAAAAGGTTTTGATGAAACATTTACAAAATATTAAATATAATTTTTAACAAAGTAAAAATAAAATTTTGAACACAAATTATCAATGAAAAAGATTTCTTAAAGATAGCTGAATAAATAAATTAATATTTTTCTAGATTAGAATGTATAACATTAATATTGAATTCTTAAAAGAGACAAGAATAAAAGTTATCAGTGTTTATATAAAATTATGGTTAAAGATGTACATAGGATTTATTGGAACTTGAAAAGAATTCAAATAAATTTTTAGATTTATAAGGTTTGAAATTACATAAATCCAGCGAATAAATAACAGAAATGATAAAAAATTATCAAATGTTATTTTATAAAATGCAATAGACTAATTTATGCAATTTAGGATAGGTAATAACTTAAGAAACAGATGAAATAGTCTAATTAGGAGATGATAAAAATTAAGAATTAAAGAAAAGAATTGATTAATTAATGTAAAGTATTGATAAAGGTCTTATAAATGCATAAAGTTTAAAAATAAAATAAGATGAAACTGTAATGATTGAAAAATAATTAATGATGGCACTTGATAAATTATATATAATAAAGATTAAAAAAAAAGGGTATCATAATTAAGTGATTATACATTAAAACAAAAATAATAAATACAATCAATATCAGTTTTAAATTCACCAAAATTTGAAACAAATAATAGTAAATAGATTAGATAAAGTACAGCAAAAAGTTTAATTGTGACAAGATCTAATAATAATAATAATAATTAAGAAATGGAAGCATGGACAAAATTAAAGAGAATACCATTAAAAATAATAGGTCAATGTGGAAAGTGCGATAACTATGCTGCTTATTAAGTTAAACATGAACTATGTTAGACTGATTATTTTTTAGATATGAATGGATTTGTAAGATGTTCTAAGAGATTGATTTCAACTCCAAAAGATAAATGTTGTAAATTGAGACATATTACTGATTAAATATTTGTTTGTCCATATTGCAAAGGAAAATTTCAATTAAATTAATTTCATAAGTTTATTCAAGCAATAATAAAAGGTTTAGATTATGGTAATTTACCATTAGAATCTAAAGATATCTTATTATTTTTTAAAAGAGTTTTTGAAGAGTTTTCTAAAATTTATTATAATTACTAAGTTCTTTAACTTAAGGGACATTCTGAATCTCCATTTGTATGAAAATAAAATGATTTTTATATTGAATTAATATGAATAACTAAAACTAATAGAAATCAAAATTCTGATTCACATAGATTAATTTAAGAATCTAAAATACGACTAGAATAGTTAAAGTATTTTTTTTCATAATTGCCTTTTTAATAGATTTAATCTATGAAGCTTCTTCTTGGTTCTTTACAAATAATTCTCTTTCCTTAACCTCTATGTTTAGATTCGTAATATTATCCTGAATCATTTAGTCCATCAGTTTATTTATAAGTATTAGGACCTGGACTACTATATCCTAAATTATTATGATAACTACTTATTTTATTAAATCGTTCTTATTTACCTATTTTATAACATCTAGAACTTTGATATCTAGCATAATTTGAATTACCCATTTAATCAATATCTTTTGATTCATATTAACCTGGTCCAGGTATGCAATCTAAATTTTACTCTTTTAAGAAATCTATTTATCTATTAATTAAATACTTGGTAACCAGTTTGATTATGTTTTTGGTCTCATAGTATATTATATTTTAGAATCATAACAATTTGAACAATTATAATTTCCTACTCCAGGATTTCTTTAAATTCCTTAAGTTATATATCCTAATTCCTTTGTTTTCTAAAAAAATGAATAACATAATAAACTTCTCTTGAAATACCAAATGTGATTCCTTTTTCTTTTTATAAATTTAATAAAGTTGAATTCATATATTAAGTTGGTGGAGGAGCATTACTAAAGGATTTAGTAAAATCTGATCGAGGACCTTTACCAATAGAATGACCTCTATTATTTAAGCTTCTATTAATATTATAATTAGCTGTTAAATAACTATTCTAATAATGAAATATATATACGTTGTTGTTGCTTATGAAAAACGTTTTGCTTTAGAAAATGAGTAACACTTTTTTCCTTTATTTTTAGTATGTTACATTATAAAAATTTATAGATAAAATTATTTCATATATTTTAGTTATAGGGAAATCATAATATAGTTAAATGTAAATCAAGATGTAATAATTTTATCAATCTTTTTATATCCACAAGGCTTTGTTATTTTATAATCTTTAGCATCTAAATAATTAGTTTAAGTCTTAAACTAATTTAATATTAAATCACTATTCTTAAGATTAAAGTATTCTATATGATTTTTTAAGATTCTATCTTAACTACATAAATTTTTTATTAAAAATGGATCCATATGTATTATTCTAAATTCTATAAATATTATTTAATTAGGATCTAAAGATGATTATTTAAAGATCTATTTCTATTCTACTTTACATTTATATTGTGTTCCTTCATATGTATTTAAATAAAAATTAAATTATTCTCTTCCTTCAACTGAATATTTAGCTAATTCACACCAATTTTTTAAAGTTCCATCTAAATTAAATATTGTTGGTAATGCTTAAGTTTCTTTTAAATGATCAAACATCATATCTTTTGTTATACCCATAACATCCAAAAATTTCTAATTTAATATTCTCTGTGATAGGATACTATTATGTTAATTTACATTTTATATAGTGCATTAAAATGGAAATTAAGATACTATATTTTCTAATTCAAGCAATTCAATTTCTGATAGTAATGTTTAATCTTTAAAATTGTCAAGAATTTTAAATCGATTTTCTACACATTCTAATGCTTATTCACTATATTAATCATTCATGTTTTTTATTATTTAACATATCTATTACTTTGAAAATTAATCTCTATCATATTATTCTAAACTAAAAAAAAACAAATCAGCATATTAGTCAACTCTGCAAACTTTATAATTGTATGTACATGGATTTTCACGTAAACCACCCAAACATCTATCTTAAGGGCATGATAATGCTAATTTTAATTCTACTGCTGATTTTATAAATGTAGAAAGTGGTCTTGGAACCTATAAAATAGGAAAGACAACTTTATTCGAAATTTTATATTAATTATCTCTCTATTCTGTTTAATATATCTATATATGTATTACTAAGTTTGCAGATTGTTTTTTATACTCCTATCTATTTTTGTTCCTCCTTATTTATATTCTTCCTTAATTTGATTATTAAACTCATTACAAATGTAAAATTATTATATTAAATCAATCCATATTTTATATAAGATATAAATCTCGACACAATTTTAATTTAATTGTTATAATATTCATTTACTAATATTTTAAACAATATAAACTCTTTCTTTTTTTCATTCAGAAATTTAAGAGTTTCCTAAATTAATCTTCTTTTACCAATATACTCTCTTTATTAGTTACAAAATTTATAATTAAAGAACATCAATCTATTCATTTCGGAATTTATATAATACAAATAACCACTACATAGATTTTTATGTAGAATTTTAATTTAAGTGTTGTTAAATATCATAAATTCAAGAGAACAATTGAAATTGATAAATTTAAATTGTTGATTGATTGTCTTGATTTATAAATATAAAATAATATTCATAACATATGAGTTTAAAAAAATTATAATAAAATTAAGTAATTTATTTTTAGAGAAAAGCCTTATTAATCAATATTTAATTTTTAAATTATTATTATTAAAACATGCAATCTCAAAATAAAATCTTAACACTTATATTAAATCTAAAAATAAAAGGATGAAGACTCGAAATGTTGGGATATCAAAATTAAAAATAACTTTAAAAATAAATTATTTTACAAGAGTATTAATGTGTTAAAACATTATTTAATCTAATTCAAAAGTAATAATCCTTTAGAAATAAACACAAATTATTATATTAATAGATCAAGCAATAAAAAAAAAGTAAATTATACAATTTTACTAATTTAAAAAAGTAATATTTGTATTGAGATCAATTGATAATTTATTTTCTGCATCAATAAATAAAGATCTATTTATTATTTGATTTCTAAAAATAATTATTTATAATTTTCCTTCACTTAAATAATATATTATAATTATAGCTTAATATCAATTCAAAAAAATACTAATATAAAAATATAAGAATACTATTCATTTGAATAACGTACAAGCCCGATCTACCTATTTTAAGAAATATTTTTGAATTTTATATAAATTTTATCTGTTATTTATATTAAATTTAACACATTTTAAATATCATGATGAAAAATAAACTTTCATAAATTAGAAAATATTTATTAGCTATAAAATAATAGATATTAGTTTAATTAAATGTTATAGAAAACAAAAATTTTTACATTAAAGACTCCTAAGAAGAAATTAAATTTATAAATATATATATTATTTAAACCTGAGCATTATCATTTAAAATTGTAAAAATATGTATAATATATTAATATCGTATTCCTTTAATTGATCTAGATTTCAAATTATTAAAAAAAGAAACGTTATTAATTATAGATGATTTGATTAATAAATGAGACTTTTTTTACTTTAAATCTGATAAAAAATGAGAAAACAATGATTAGAATGTCAATAAAAGGTTGTAATATAATTTTAGGTAGAAGAAAGTCAAATCCACTAAAAAATTAAAAATTAAAAATATATTATAATCTGGAAACAAGTTAGAAGAATATATTTATTTATATAAAATAAATTTAGAATAACAAATTAATAGTTAACAATTTATGATTATGTTAAAATTGAAAATTTATTAATAAAAATTATTTGGATGAGAAGAGGAGAAATAGATGATCTGATAAAAAAAGATTAACGTAGATGAGAATTTTGGTTGATATTTAATAAAATGATGCACTATTAAGTTTAAGTAAGAAATTAATTAGATTTGATAATTTAAAGTCAATGAAGTTTAGCATATTAGATAATAAAAATTAAATGAAAAATCTTTTTTTAAATTTCTGCTGTTTATTAATATAGACAGCGTTGTCATAAATGTTGATGGAGACCTACAATTAGGTTTCTATAAAGGGAATAGAATTTGATTGGAGCGCTAAAACTGTAGCTATAGATGATTAATAGCTATTAATAGCTTAAAACATTAGGGGACATGATTAATTGTTTTAAGTTTAATTAATGTTAATAGATATAATGAGTAATGAAATAATTAAACAAATAACGATAAGAGGAGTAGATGAGAGTAACTATTGTCCAGATATAGTTATTATAAAAAATTAAATATTTATTGCTCTTATAAGTGAGAAAGGAAGTGCTTTGAATGTATTAATGAAAAAATTAAATTTATCATTGGAAGAAATAGAGGTAGAATTAAATTTAGGAGAAATTTTGTATGAAGTGAAATCAAATTAAAAAATTTAGTTTATTAGCTTAAGTCAGTTAAATTAAAATTTATTATCGATTTAATGGTATTCAAAAGGGAAAGAATATCCTTCTAAATAATGGAATATGATATTGTATAATCCAACTACTAATATAATGGGTGAAAAAATCATATTACCAGATAGTCATTTTATATCAGTTACCTAAAATTAATTAGGAATAATAGGAATAGTTTAATCGAATGATTAAAATATAATATTATCTAAATTACATTAAGGTAAGTTAAGTACAAGATCTATTAATAAATAATCTAATTTATATCAATAGAGAGTTAAAATATATAGTTTACCTACAAATGAATTTATAGTCATTAGATATACTACTTCATAAGAATTTGAATTTCGAAGATTTGATAAAAATTTAGAAGCTATTCATAATCCTTAAAGTATTATATTAAGAAGTAATTGTTATTAAAATTCAATATAAGCAATTGATACAACATTTAGGGATTCTTAATTAGTTGTAGTATGTAAATGTGAAGATGAAATAAAAATCTAATAAATTGAATTATTAAATTATAAAGATGATTAATATTTATCTGAATAGTATAGATAGATTGAAGTAGAAAATAAATAAAATATCTAATCAATGTAAATTAATTATATTGATCATAACCGATTGTTTATTAGATGGTTTACACCAAATTTATATAACTATATATTATAAGTTTAATTAATAGATATGAACTTATTAATTAATGAATGTATATTAAATTGTAATAGATGTGATAAATAATTTAGATGTTAATAATGTAAAGATAATTATTAATTGGATATAATATAAAATGAATGTATACCAATCTGTCCTGATAATTGTTTACATTGTTCTAATGCTACTTATTGTGATAAATGTAAATTGGGATATTAATACACCAAAGAAAATTTATGTGTAAGTCCAATTAATAATAATTTTATTGATCTTAAAGTGAGCAGTGAATTAGAAAATAAAGGGAAAGGAAAAATAATAAATAAGGATTTGTATTTGATAATAATTTATAGTATAATTAAGAATGATTAATAATAGTATTTAGTTATTCGAAAACTTGACACTAAAGGATAATTAATAATGAAAGTAGAACATTATAAAGAATAAAATACATTATTAGATTATGATATTGCTGATTCTTTATAGGATGATGTATTTCTAATATTAATAAAATGGATATCAGATAATGGATCAACACAAATCATTAATTACTAATATTATTTATAAGATTTAACTATTAAAGATGAATCTTTAATTACAGAATCATCTCCATATATGATTGGAGATTAAATTAAAATTGTCAATTATAAATAGGATAATATAGCTTATTTTTATTTTAATTAAGATAAAGATTATTATCATCTTTAATATATAAGAGTAGATTAAAATAATATTAGTTATAATTATTATGGTATTGCATTCTATTAAAAACATAATTTCGAGATGACTTCATATAAATCTATAGATGGCAATTATTATCTTCAAGTTAGAAATGATGATTATTCTTATAAATGTACTATTTAAGATAATCATTTGTATTGTATTTATTTGGATAATAAAGATAGAAATGAATTCTATTCATAAAAATTATTTCAAATTGATTCACTTTCCTTATATATAGATCATGATATTTATTTGAATAAATAATTATATCTTAATAATACCAATGATTTCAAAATATAAATTACATAATCATCAAGACATCCTTAAAATCATACATTTATATAGATTGAATAAAATAATATTATAATATTGTGGTCTGGTATTTCAAATATTTAAGAAAACAATGCAATATCTCATTTGTATATTTAAGGTGTTTCTAAATAAACTAATTAGATTACTAATTTAAAATCTTATATTTGTTCTTCTGCTTGTATTAAATGCTCAGAAACTGGAGTATGTATATAATGTAAGAATACTAATTACAGTTTAGAAAAAGGAAAGTGTAAATTAAAATGTATTAATAATTGTGAATCTTGTTTAGTAGAGAATGAATGTTTAAAATGTAATTTAAATTATTTCTTGGATTCAAATTCATAATGTGTATAAACATAAAAAGATTAAATATTATAAAAATAAGATTATTTATATCCTTCAATATACTAGAACATAGATGGTACTATATCTATAGTATCATTAAAACTTAATGGAACTAAATATGAAGTTATTTATGAGGAATATAATAGATAAGGTGATTCAATATCAGGAGAAATCAGAATTACTAACGATAGTAATTTAACTTTATTATTAAAATAACCTAAATTAATCAAAAAAGATCAATATATTCTTATTAATTATATTACAAGAGATGAATTAAATAGTCTATAATATACTGCTGTTTTTGTTACTTTAGATTATTCATATCAAATTATTTAAAATACTCTATTATTAACATTAAATAATGATGCCTTAATTGATTTTTATGTAATTGATAATGTTTTACATGTATTCAGTGTTAAAAATTACTACACTTAAGGAACTTGGTTGTATTATAATTTATACTCAATTCAAAATGGATTTATGATTCAAAAAAGTGAAAAATAATTTACAGATTTGTTTGATTTTACTAAAAGATATTACAACTTTAGAATAGGTATTTTAGTTACTTAGAATAAATTTTCAATATAATATTCTGAAGTAGGAGGAATCAATTAAATTGTATATATATTAGATTATGTATAATTAAAAACAACAAAATCTACAATTACAAGTTATTATGAGAATTATTTAAATTAATTGTAACATTATGCTATTCAATATAAATAATTAAGCAATCAAAAATTAAGTGTATAATTCTATAATTAGAAATATTCTCTTTTAAATGATATAATAATAGAATCAATAGCTGAATTATCTTAAGTATAAGTTGTGACAACTTAAGAATTTATATATATTTTGTATGTCGAATAATAATAAACAAATATGGGAATAATAAAAATTAGATAATATAATTTGAATGGATTATAGATAGCTACAACTCAAATTAATTCAAATGAATAGAATGTTGATTAATTAAGTAGTAGTAGTTAATAAAATGAATTCATTTATGTAACTTGGAATTCTATAAGAAATAGAAAATCATATAGAATGAGATTAAATTAAAAATTATAAGCAATTCCATTCAATAATTAAATATGTGTTTCTAGATGTACAGATTGTTCAAATAATGATAAGATAATTTGTTCATAATGTTTAGATGGATATAAATTTGATGAATAAAAAATGTTATGTTCACCAATTTGTTCAGATAACTGTTAAAATTGTTTATTACCTTATACATGTGATTATTGTTATGATAATTTCAAATTCATAGATAATAAATGTCTTAATGTAACTGAATTCTAATTAGAAATATCAATTTGTTAATAAACTTGTTAAGGATTGGGTTCAATTTTAACTTTTGATGATAATTAAATGATAACAACCTTTTATAATAATAAGAACTAATAACATAGTTTAGATTCAAACATTTATGAATTAGAATCTAATATAATTACATCTAAGTAATTAATTACATCAGATACAATTATACCATATCATAAAATTTATGAATATGAATCTAGAAAGTTTGCTCTTATATGGTTAAGTGGTAATTGTGTTATATCATGCAGAATGATGTTACAATTATTCTAAAAAAACTTTATTATTATAACAAATCCAATTGAATTAAGAGTTCTTTAAGTACTTAATATTGATGAATTTGAAGTCTAGATCAAAACATTTAATACAGATCTTGTTATTGTTTGGACTGAAATAAATCAATATTCTATTTAGTAATCATATGTTGGTGTTTATAATATAAATAATGGATTTTAAATAAAATAAAATTTAAATGAAAATGAAAATGACATTTCTATTAATCCATAATTATTAATTTAGACTTCATCCTATCAAATAATCTATATCAAAAATAATAATATTATAAATTCATTAACTATAGATAATACATCTGTAAAATATAAACAACTATATTAAACTACAAATTAAATTGATTCTATTTCATCAGATAATATTGATAGTAGTGGATTAACAATAGGATGGATTGAAATTGAAATTAATAGATTTGGAATGTAAAATTTTTATATTTATATCTAATGGTTCGATAGATAACTTAATCAATAAGCTAATAAAATAATATCATTAAATTCTTTAATTAGAATTTAAAATTTAAATTTAAAATATCTTTTTAATCAATATTTATTATAATTGACTTACATATCATATGATAATGAACAATAGTAAAGAATTCGTCAATAATTTTAAACTATATCTTTTTTAAAATATGGATCAAATTATGTATTATAAACAAATCCATTAAATATTTTAAGTAAATATAAATCTAATTCAAAATTCTAGACTTATGTAGATCCTAGAAATTTCATGTCATATGTAGTGTTTTAAGGAATGATGAATAATATAAATTAAATATTTTTAATTGAAAAGAAAGGATAGTATACATATTAAGATAATTGTGAATTGAATTGTTTTTATTGTAATACAAATAATGAATGTGTAATTTGCAAATAAGGTTATTCATTATAGAATAATAAATGTTAATTGAAATTACCAGATAATTGTGCTACTGGTAATAATGGTAGATGTTCATAATGTAATATTGGTTATACAATTACATCAGATTATAAATGTTAAATAAGTGATTATAAATACAAAGAGATAAAAATGAATGTATATTCAGCATAAAGTAGATAGAGAATATCATCATTTTAGAATGGAGATTATGTAGTTGTATGGACAACACAATTTTATTAAAATGAAGGTACTAGTGTTTATATGTCATTGTATAATTCATAAGGTATAAAATTGAAAGATGAAATAAGAGTTAGTCAATCTTCAGCAGGAATATAATCACATCCTGATGTTTAAGTATTAAATAATAATGAAATAATTGTTGTTTGGATAGATGGTAATATACTCATAAATGCTAATATAAAGATATAAAAATTTAATTAAGATTTCTAAAGAATTGGAACTGAAGTTATTGTTTAAAATAGTATTCATCTTTATTATGCTTAATCACTTGATACACCAGTTGTTATTCAATAAATTATTAATGGATATGCAATAGTTTGGGCAGAATAAGGAAATCAAAATTATATATAATTAATCACTAAATTCTTTGATAATAACAATAATATACTTCATACATAAATTATTACTGAAAATGAATCTATAATTAATGAACCGGTTATTGCTTCTACTTAAACTATTATTGTGATTGTTTGGTAAACAAATAAAGGAATCTTTGCAAGTTCATTTAGTTTAAATTTTATATTAATTGACAAAATATAATTATCTACAACTGGAGAAAGTCCATCTATAAGTTCAGTAAATGATTATTTTATTATTGTCTGGAAAGAGTATGTTATTGATGAACATGATTTTATGAGTTAAAAAATAAGATTTAGAAAAATATCAACAGATTTAAATTAATATGAATTTTAAAATAATTTTGGTATTTCATAAGAAAATTTAGATAACCCAGATGTAATTTAAATAGAAAATGGATTTGCAATTATTGCTGAAAGTGTTTTTATATAAAATGATAAAGTTAGAACTATTTAAATGTAAGTATTTAATTTAGATGGTACTCCTAAATCATAATCTGTAGTTGTTTATTCTATATTTAATTTGTACCCACATCATCCTTAATTAACAAGTTAACCTTAAGGAAACTTTATTGCTTCATGGACATTAAGTTCTTTAATATCATAAAGTTTAAGTGATGATGTCTATATGAAAAGATATAAAAATGATGGTACCTAATTAGAATTAAACTCAATCATCTGTTCAGAAAATTGTTAAATATGTTCAACAAGCAATACCTGTCAAACTTGTAAATAAAATTATGTTTTATTTAATGATTTATGTTACTTACAAATTAAAAATTGTGCTATTCATCTAATTGATAATTAAATACTCATTTGTAATCTTTGTGCTGATGGATTTCAATTAATTAAAAATAATTGTAATTAAATTAATTAAATCTCAAATGAATATATAATAGAATTCCCAAATGATTAAAAAAATTAAAATTCATTTAAAGTGATAACTTTTTCTAATGGTGATTTATTATATTTTTGGATTGGTGATACAATCATAATGACTCAAAGATTTAATAAATATGGATAAAAATATTCTAATCCCAATAAATTAGATCTTGGGTTATCTTGTATTTATACTTATTAATGCCCCTATCTATATTACTTTGATGTTTGTAAACTTACTGAAGATTTGTTTGTAGTGGGCTATAAATATGAATATGCAGGATTAATATTCACAAGAGTTTACAATTAAAATTAAGAATATATTGAGGAAAATACATTTACCTCAAATTTAGGAAGTTTTAATTCAATAATATTTTCTAAGTATAGTAATTACATAGTGAAAATGAAATAATTGGATAATATGAAAATAATACTGATTCAAATGGTTATGATATCAGATGTTCCTGCATTGTAATTAAATATAATACCTTATTATGTTGATAGTTCATATCGAATTAAATAATCAATCACACAATAAATCTAATTGTTATCTTATTCTTAGTTTAAACATTCTTAAGATATAGATATCTATATGATTGACAATTAAATAAAATTGGTTTATAGATCAGATCCAACTATAAGTTTTACAGAGAATAATTTTGACATATTTGGTGTTTTACTAAATTTGAATAAAGTATAGAAATCGAATAATTAAATTGAGTTTAAAATGATTTCATTAAATTCAGACAGTTATTTAACTGTTTGGACAGCTATAGAATCTTTTAAATATGAAGTATTCTACTAAATAAAACAGAAAAAAGGTATAATTGTAACAAGTCCATAGAAAATATCTACTGGAAATGAAATCTATAAGTTGGATTTAAAGATTGATATACTTTCAGATTCAATAATTATTACTTGGAGAGAAGGTTCAGAGACTTTAGATATGAGTTTAAATTCTCTATATAAAGGAATTTTAATATCAAAAGAGACTTATAATTTGATTAGTGAAGTAATTACTATCAATACAGATAATAGTAATATCAAATCATTAAATAATGTTAATGTGATTGAGTTAACAAATTAAGATATTGTAATTAGTATTATGTTTTATAACATATTGATGGAAATCTAAACTATCATATCATACAAATTTAATCTATTAGGTTAGAAATTAGAATTCTCTTAAATGAGATGTGGATATGCTTGTTAAGAATGCAATCATTAAGGACTCTGTCTTAAGTGTATAAATACAAATTTATATTTATTATAAGATGATGGAACTTGTAGAAAAAGACCTTAAAATTGTATTAATTTTAAAACTCTTTGCAATGATTGTCTTGATGGTTATTACAAAACTTAATATCTTACTTGTGAGAAAATCAATCAATTAATAGAAACATCAATTCAATTTGATTATGAAAAATATTATTATTTCTATAAAGTGGCTACATATCGAAATGGAAATTTTGTTATTGTTGGTAGTAAAGATTCAAAAATTATAGAACTAAATTATTATCTTAGTAATGGAGTTGCCTAAATACAATAACTCAAAATTATTAATCTTATAGATATTGATACGATTAATGATTTATCTCTTGTTATTGATGATAATGATTTCTTAACAATATTTTATTCTGTTTTTCCATTAACATATTCAGAGTAAAATAAGTATTATTACCAATAATTTGATTAAAACTTTAATTAAGTGACAGATCCTATATTATTTTATTCTGGGTTATAATCACATGAATAAACTATAATATTCACTAAAATTCTGAATAGTGGATAATTTGGTATATTAATTAAGAGTAGATTTGATATTCACCTTTAAATCATGAATTCAAACTATTAATTTGTTGCTAATTAGATATTACCATTAAGTGAATATTTTGACTTAACATCAAATGGACAAAATATCATTTTTGCTTACATCAAAAATACAATTAGTATTATTAAAATATTTGATGTAAATTTAAGATTGATTTAAGATTAAATAATTAATGATGGAGGATTAGTAAAAGTGACATCAAATACACTCAAATAATTTGTTATAATAACAAAAACACAAATAAATATAATTTCATAAGAGTTGATTTTACAATCTTATGATACTACTTTATATAATTTATACCCAATACAAATAGGTTTAAGTGATATGAATGAAATAATTATCTTATCATTCTAACAGAACTCAAACTCACTTCATTTGCTTTATTTTTCAATGGAAGGGTTATTAAAAAATAATGTATAAGTTAATATGGAATATAATGTAATTTAACCTTAAAATACCTGGTTATTTAAACTGTAAAATAATAACTTTATTGTTATCTTTCACTCAGGATAAGTAAATTATTCTTGGAAGTTAAAAATAGCAAGATTTGATTGGCTTGGAATTTCTAGGCCTGTTAGTGATATTATCTGTCCTAATGGTTGTTTAGCATGTGCAACATCTATGGTTTGTGATATTTGTAATTTTGGATTTCAAAAAAATGATTAAACTTAAATTTGTGATAAAATATGTACATAAAATGGTTGTAATAAATGTAAGTTTAGTGATTGTGATGAATGCTCACAAGGCTTTTAATTTAATAATTTAGGATATTGTGTTATTATTGAATAATCAAATGAACATCCTATAGATCCTTATGATCCTAATTATGAGGAAGAAATTAAAGATCCTATTAATCCTTTAGATCCTATAGATCCAATTAATCCTATAGATATTGGATCTATAGAACATCCTATTAATACATAATGCAATCTACAAATGTAAAATAAATTAATTAATTTCATTAACAATCAATTCGCTATCATCTATATTTGTAATAATATCCTAAATGCAAAATTATTTAATTAAAATGGTTAAGAAATATAGAGCTTTAGTATCACTATTGAACTTGTATTTATTTTTGATGCTACATTCTTTGATGATTAAATTATTTTAGCTTTTGTCTTTGAAAATTAACCAAATTAAAGTCAAATTTATTCTATTAATAATAACTTCTAAAATATTGCTCTTAAATAAGTTACAAATTATCAATCAGAAATTAACAATATCAGAATTTAAACTTTAAATCAAAACTTTGTTATTTTAATCTCAAATAATAAATAAATTGAATATGAATAACAATTTATTGATTGTCATTCATAAACTCTAACTATTTATGATAATCTATTTGCAAAAACTGTCAATAAATTGGATATCAATTATCCCGATGGTATAACTTCAGATACTTGCAACAGAAATTAAATATCTGAAATTAAAGTATTTGAAAATATTATTTATACATTATCTATCAGTTTATTAGAAGCATAATTGATATCTATTGACACTTTTGGAGCAATTCAAAATACTTTTAAATTAGATGTTCCAAATATAGATAAAATAAAATTTGATATTAATCTTGACACTGTGAGTTTTATATACAAGACTTTTGATTCAACTTATTGGAATTTAAAAATTTGTAATAGACTTCTTATTATTATATTTGTTAAAATTGATTATATTCCTGGAAATTCAGATGTCTAACTTTCGAAAGTAGAAAATAATTTGTTTGTATCTTGGAATTTTAACAATAACCTTTAAAGTTCATCTTACGAATTATTAGATCCATTTGGAAATCAAATTTCAAAGGGAGTAATTTTGAGCAATACATAAATTAGCAGTCCTTAAATTTTAGTTTTGAATTCTTATTTATACTTAACCTGGACTAATCAAAACAAAGACTCATATTGGGGTATTTCTTATGCAATTATGAATTAAAATGGACAGTTTGTTGATACGATCAAAAATTAATGTTCTATAAATTGTTTAACCTGTATTAATACAAACTTATGTACAACTTGTGAGATTGGATATAATTTAATATAAATTAATTAAAATGAAAGCTTGTGCTTAAAGGATTGTGATTAAAATTGTATTAATTGTGATTAAATTGGAAGATGTTTTTAATGCAGGTAAAATTATTATCTGTAGAATTATTAATGTAATTTCGATGAAATTCAAGCCAAATCGATTAGAATTAATAAATACACATAACAAAGTTAGACATAATAATAAGGAGCTAGATTTAGTGATGGATCTATAATAGTTGTTTGGTCAAGTAATTATTAAGATGGAAGTAGTTGGGGAGTTTATGCTTAAGTAATTGATAATGCTGGTGTTTAAATTGGAGATAATATCAAAATTAGTTTGAATTCTCAAGGACCTTAACATTCTCCTTATGCAGCTGTATTGAAGGATGACACAGTTATAATAATTTACATTAACGGAGATCCTATTGATGGCAATGCAATTTTGAAAGCTTAAAAATTTGATAAATAAATGTTAAGAATAGGAGATGAATTTGTTGTAGCTTTAATCAATAATAATAATTACAGCTTAAATAATAATCATATTTGTAAAGTATTAAATTTAAGTAATGGAGGATTTGTTATTGGATATGTAAATTAACTTTTAAATACATATTAAAAATTCATTCATCTAAAATTCTATGATTCAATCGACAATTTTGTATTGGAATAATAAATTCCAACTTTATTCCAAAATTAGAAGGATTCTTTAGAAGTTGCTGCTACTGAATTCAGTATTGCTGTAATTAATCAAGACGAACTATTTTAATCTTATATTAATTTATATTAGTTGGATGGATATTTCCTATAAAAAAAATAATTTGCTCCAATCAATCCATAAATTTCCCCATATCTTACTTTAAGTAGCACAAATTCTTATTATGCAATAGGATTCAAATAATATGAATAAGATGCATTAATTGTTAAATTATAATTATTTGATCAATATTTAAATTAGTTAGGAGATTTTTACAATATCAAAATTTTATAATTTTAGAGTGGATATTTACAGTTCATGGAAATCAAAGAATACAATGAAGGACTATAAATTATAGTTGCGATGTAATTTGATTAATCATTCATCTAAGAGCTTTATTTCATCAAAGATTAACAAATATAATTTTAAAATAAATTCCACTTTCCTATTAATGTATATCATTAAGACTAATAATCAATAAGTATCATACCATCCGCTAATTAGAAATACTTTTTATTATGGGTATAATTCGATTAATTGAATAATAAAGATAATTCAAATATTCATTATTCACTATTATCAAGAGATCATTAAATATTAACGTCTAATTAGATTGTTTGCTATATGAATTGTTTCAAATGTGAATAACCAAATCTTTGTGATCAATGCTTTGATGGCTATGATTATTATTAAAATGAATGTTAGCCAATTTGTGAGCCTAATTGTGAAGTATGTTTTATTCCATCTTATTGTAATAAATGCAGCAAGAATTATTATTTACAAGAAGAAGGTAAGTGCTCTGCTACTCCCTTAAATTAATTAGAACCTTAGGTGTTGTTATAATTTTAACAAGGTGAAAAATTATTTTAATTAGAAATAATAAATAATATTGAAATGGTGTCATTTACTTAGATCAATTCTTTGCAATTTTATGTTTAAGTTATGATTGGAGAATCAGTAATTAGAACCTTTATCATCTTTATACACCCATAGTATAAATCTTTTTAAATCTATTACCAAGATTCAAATATAATATTAGTATATTATTAAGAAACTTCTGTGCATGTTCAAAGATATGATCATAATTAATATTTGATGTTTGATGGCTTCTTATATTTTACATAATTCCCATAGTTTTAGATCAAGTCTGAAAATCTCATTTTAGAACCACTATTGGGTTCTCTATATTCACTAACTTTTTACGAATAAATTTTTGAACCACACTCAAAAATATCTTCTCTTAAATTTTATAATGTACGATTAGATTCAATGTTAGCAACAGTAGAAAATGTAAAGAATTTCATGCAGACTTCAGAATGGATAGAAAGGATTGAAAAAAGAAAAAGTTACTTTTCTGTGTTCACTTTTAACAAAATTTTAATGATAAAATAGGATTAAAGTGAATAATAAAGCTGTCAATAAGGATATGATAGATTTTATTGCAACAGATTTTCATGCCAAAATGGAAATCAAATTTTAATATCCGAGACTCTATCAAAAGTTGCTTATATTGATAATGTATAGAATTCTGGAGGCAAAATTATTAATTATGAAATCTATGATTAAAAAAGAGAAACGATAATTAAACAAACAAAAGTTTTGAATTAAGGGTTCAGTCGATAAAGATTTATTAAATTATTTACTTATACGAATTCTTTTGCCATATTTATAGAGTAACAAAATTACGATCTTAATTCAAATGTAAGATAATTGGTAGTTTAGTATATTTATAATACTGGTAACAAAATTGGTGATTCTATATATATTTTAACTTATGATGCAGATACTTTCATGGAAATTATCTAACATCAAAATGGGTTCAAGATATTTTGGTAGAAATAAGGATGTGATGATTAAGAATGTTATAATAATTTAGTATGGAAAACATTTGATAGAGAAAATGACTTACCAGATCCATCAGTACCTCAAATAATCTTTAATGATCCTATTAAAGATGGAAAAGGCATTGAGATTGTGGATAAATGTACTGAAGAAATGATGAAGAAACTTATTAAATTCTCTAATAACAATTATGCTATTTTATATATCTGTTAGAATATATTTAGAATAAGAAATTTCGATAAAGAAGGCTTAGAGATCCACTTTAATGAAATTAACCTTGAATTAATTCATTTATTTGATGCAACTGTAATATAAGATGAAATTTATTTAAGTATGGTGTATAATTCAGATAAAAGAGTCATTAAAATATTTAAATTACATTAAATAACGAACACTATGATACTTTAACAAGATTATATAAATGATTAAGAAATTTTAGATATTAAGATGGAGGGTTTATTAATGAATTATGCTCTTTTAATTACAAGTTTGAAAAACTTTATTTTTGATACTGGATCTTTAATTGGGCATTCTTAATCATTATTTATATATGATATATCAAATGTAAAAATCCTAGAAAAATAAGATATTAATTATCCTGAATTTTTAACAATTGAAAATTGTGATAAAAGCATTATCAAAGGATTCAAAGTTTTAGATAATACAATCCATTTAGTAAATATCAATTAAAATAATGCAAATTTAATTTAACTAAATATCAATGGAATTAAATTATCATCTTTTATTTTAGAGATACCGAATATTTCAGAAATCAAATTTGAAATTACAAATGAATTGATTGTCTTCATGTATTAATTGTTTAGCTAAACCTCATGGAGTTTGAGAATTTGTACTTAAACAATGGCTATAATTTATCATAAAGCAGATATTATAATGGAAATTAAAGGCCTTTCAATAGCTGTATCTTAGGCTGTTATAACATTGACTTGGAGTGATGTTAATGAAAAGGAAATATTTTATTAAACACTTGATAAAATGGGAACTATCATTAAATCTGGATAAATAAAGAATTATTAATCCAATAGCAAGCCTATGCTGATAGTTTTATTCGATATTTATGTTGGATTTGTTTGGGAAGTTTAAAACATTTAAGAGTTACGGGGATTGTAGCTATCATTAATGAACAATCAGGGAGAATTTTTCAAATAGATTCAAATAATGTGCACTCCTAATTGTGTTTAATGTAACATTAATTAATTATGTACAACTTGTGAGATTGGATATCATTTAATATAAATTAATTAAAATGAAAGCTTGTGCGAAAAAGATTGTGATTAAAATTGTATTCTTTGTGATTAAATGAGAAGATGTTTTTCTTGCAAGGAAAATTATTATTTGTTAAATTCTTAATGTAATTTGGATGAAATTAAAGCTAAATCAATTAGAATTAATAAATACACACTATAAAGTTAAACATAATAATAAGGAGCTAGTTTTAGTGATGGATCTATAATAGTTGTTTGGTCAAGTAATTATTAAGATGGAAGTAGTTGGGGAGTTTATGCTTAAGTAATTGATAATGCTGGTGTTTAAATTGGAGATAATATCAAAATTAGTTTGAATTCTCAAGGACCTTAACATTCTCCTTATGCAGCTGTATTGAAGGATGACACAGTTATAATAATTTACATTGATGGAGATCCTATTGATGGCGATGCAATTTTGAAAGCTTAAAAATTTGATAAATAAATGTTAAGAATAGGAGATGAATTTGTCGTTACTTTAATTAATTATAATATTGAAAGCTTAAATAATAATCATATATGTAAAGTATTAAATTTAAGTAATGGAGGATTTGTTATTGGATATGTAAATTAACTCTTAAATACAAATTAAAAATTCATTCATCTAAAATTCTATGATTCAAT